TGTCCCCTCTCGTCCTTCTCTTCATTAAACTAGACATACCCAATTCCAGCAACTGCTCCTTATGTGTTTTAGCCTCCAGTCCCCTAATCATCTTTGTTGCTCTTCTCTACACTCTTTCTAGATTCTCAATATCTTTTTTACATCGTGGTGACCAAAACTGGATGCAGTATTCCAAGTGTGGCCTTACCAAGGCATTGTAGAGTGGTATTAACACTTCATGTGATCTTGATTCTGTCCCTCTGTTAATGCAGCCTATCACTGTGTTGGCTTTTTGGCTGGCTCATATTTAAGTGATCGTCCACTAGGACTCCGAGATCCCTCACAGTTACTACTATTGAGCAAGGTACCCCCTATACTATACCTATGCATTTGGTTTTTCTTGCCTAAATGTAGAACCTTGCTTTTTTCACCACTGAATTTCATTTTGTTAGATAGCGCCCAGTGTTCAAGTCTGTCCAGATCCTCCTGTATCTTAAGCTTTGTATTTTGCTCCTGAATCCACTTCAATTTTCCAGAAAGCACATAGAAAATTCATGAACATTCATGCCTCCAGAAGTTGTGGGTGCTCCAACACTGGAGGTTTTCAAGAAGAGACTGGACAGCCATTTGTGTGAAAACTTATACGGTTTCCCGCTTGAGCAGGGGGTTGGACTAGATGACCTCCAAGGTCTCTTCCAATTCTGTTATTCTATTAATCCATTATGTACATTTTATTATTTAAATTCTTTCACCAAATGAACTGGGCAAACAATATTGCCCAAACTGCTTTGATTACAGACTTTTTTTTTTCTGAACATCCACATTTTTGAGTTGCCTTTACAACATTCAGAAACATGTCATTGTTGATATGTAACACCCTTGTAATATCCATGTAGATTCAAAAAGTATGAACTGGGTTTTTAGTCCCTGTATAAATCACATGAATTGCCCAAACTGAAGGGAGATGGGGGGGGGAATTCCTGATAAGTACCCGCATAGACTTTAACTCAGCAACTTAGGTAAAAACCTAAAGCTGATTCTGACAAAAATGTGACATTTATTACATTAAACTAGTAGTATTGCTCAGTCACTAAGTTGTGTACAACTCTTTGCAACCCCATGGACCTTAGCACACCAGGCCCTCCCTGTCCACTGTTTCCCAGATTTTGCCCAAATTCATGTTCATTGTGTTGACGACACTATCCAACCATCTCATCTTCTGTGTCCCCTTCTCCTTTTGCCTTCAATCTTTCCCAACATCAGGGTCCAATGACCTCCATTCCCCCCACCCCAAATGGAGGATCAGATGCATTTGGAATTTGAGAATGTGCCGTGGACATTCTCAAAAACAAAGATGTTGAGACTCTGGAAAGAGTACAGAGAAGAGCAACAAAGATGATCAGGGGACTGGAGGCTAAAGCATGTAAGGAACGGTTGCTGGAATTGGGTATGACTAGTTTAACGAAGAGAAGGACGAGGGGGGACATGACAGCAGTCTTCCAATAACTCAGGGGCTGCCCCAAAGAAGAGGGAGTCAAGCTATTCTCCAAAGCGCCTGAAGGCAGGACAAGAAGCAATGGATGGAAACTAATCAAGGAGAGAAGCAACCTAGAACTAAGGAGAAACTTCCTGACAGAACAATTAATCAGTGGAACAACCTGCCTCCAGAAGCTGTGAATACTCCAACACTGGAAGTTTTTAAGGAGACTGGACAGCCATTTGTCTGAAATGGTATAGGGTTTCCTGCCTGAGCAGAGGGTTGGACTAAATGACCTCCAAGGTCCTTTCCAATAACAACTTCTACTACTACTTCTTGTTCTTCTTCTTTTCTTTTCTTTTCCACGATGGGGTCCTGACCGTAACAAGGGCTGCCGTAACAAGGATAGGCAATCATTAAACAGCATGCTCTTCTGCTTCGTTACTTTCTCATCCTTTTCCAAGATGGCCTTGGAAACATCACGCAGGAGTTTTATCATATTTTAAGGACACTAATGAGACCTTTGGAAGGATCAAGACTTCCTGGAAGTGATGAGCAAAACGTGTATTTTGCTTTGCCATAGACCACCTTCTCATTTTAACCCAAAGGGTATTGTGAAGAAATTAAGAGGGGGGCAGAGGCAAGAGAGGTGTTTAAGATCTCCAAGGGACTCGTGTGCAAACCCCATGGATGCCACATTGCAAAATTCAGAACTAAGCGGTAGTGTCATTTGGAAGCAGAAAGTAGTATGTACACAGACCTTGTGGTTATAAGTCATGACATCTGAGCAATGTATGATCCATACGGTGATGCCTTCTTCAAGCATGGTGTAAACAAGTCATAGCTCAGTGTGAACCTCACCGCTGTAAGGGAGCCCAGGCTGAACCAAAATGTTTGTCACTGAAAACCACACAGAAAATCTTAGGGTCAAGTGGTGACAAAGATGACACAGGACTCAAGGAAAGGCTCTCTGGAGACAAGCTGAAGGATCTTGGCTTCTTCAGTGTGGAGAAAAGACTATTGAAAAAGATCATAAATGGCCACTACCTAGATTTTAGAATAACAGAGTTGGAAGGAACCTTGGAGGTCTTCTAGTCCAACCCCCAGCTTAGGCAGGAAACCTATACCATTTCAGACAAATGGTTGTCCAGTCTCTTCTCAAAAATGTATGTTTGTAATGTATGGCTGTGGGAGTTCTGCCATAAGGAAGGCTGAGCTCCAAAGAATTGATGCTTTCGAATTGTGGTGTTGGAGAAGACTCTTGAGAGACCCTTTGACTGCAAGAAGATCAAATCAGTCAGTCCTAAAGGAAACCCATCCTGGCTGTTCTTTGAAAGGACGGAGACTGAAGCTGAAGCTTAAATATTTCGGCCACCAAATGAGAAGAGGGATCTCCTTGGAAAAGACCCCAATGCTGGGAAAGATGGAAGGCAAAAGAAGAAGGAGACAGCAGAGGAGGAGATGGTTGAATGATGCCATCAATGCAATGAACATCAACTTGAGAAAACTCCAGTAGACAGTGGAGGACAGGGGGGCCTGGTGTGCTGTGATCCATGGGGTCACACAGAGTCAGAAATGACCTGAACAACAAACAGTAACCTAGATTTTATTTAAATATAAGGGAAAAAATTCTGAGAGTAAAATCTATATACCAGTGGTGTGGTTTACTTATGGAAGTTGTGAGTTTTCCATCTCAGGAAACTTTTAAGAAAAGGCTGGACCACTATTGCTCATGGATGCCTTAACCGATTTTCTTGAACACTTCAGAGGATTGGATTAGATGATCCTTGGGATCCCTTCAATTCCGTAATCCTATGGTTCATAATTGTATTCTAACCATCAGCCAGACTGATGACTGCTTGGCATATTTCTTCACAAGTTTTGGGTCAATGCAAATATTCTATCTAGATTCTCTCTCTCTCTCTTTCTGTATATCTATCTATCTATCTATCTATCTATCTATCTATGTATCTATCTCTATATTTGTTGTTGTTAATTGCGAAGTCGTGTCCGACCCATCGCAACCCCATGGACAACATTCCTCCAGGTCTTCCTGTCCTCTACCATCTTCTGGAGTCCATTTAAGTTCACACCTACTGCTTCAGTGACTCCATCCAGCCATCTCATTCTCTGTCGTCCCTATATATCTATATCTATCATCTATCTATATCTGTCTATCTATATCATTATCTATCATCTATCTATCTATCTCTATCATCTATTTATATATCTATCATCTGCCTATATCTATCTCTATCTATCTCTATCATCTATCTATATCTAATTATCTATCATCTATCTATATCGATCATCTATCTATCCATCATCTCTTTCTATCTGTCTATCTGTCTATCTATCTATCTATCTATCTATCTATCTATCTATCTATCTATCTATCTATTATCTATATCTATCATCTATCTAGCTATTTTCTTTTGCATATGGTAGATTGATACAGTGTAGATAGATAGAATGAGGATAATGGAATTAGATTTGCAGGAATGTAAATTTCCATGAAATGGAAGATGCCGGATGCCAGAATTAAAACACTCCATCCATTCCAGGCAGTGGGAAAATTTCAAAGTTTTGCTAAGTGCTGATTAGCCTGATTTCCCTTTTCCAGTGATGTCTGGCACGTATACTTCTGTCTCTGACGCATCTATTTCAGCAAAAAGAAAGGGAGAAAAAAAAAGCCTTAGATCAAAGGTAGACCAAAATATTTTGCTAACTTTCCATCTGCAATTAGTTGAGAGAGATGCATATTGTTGCTTAATTTGGAAATGTAAGTTAACTCAATCATGGTCTGTCCAGTGAACCCAATTCCACACCAGACACTGAAGTCTAAGTTAACTGTGGTGGCTACATAACATTAGAAGGGGGGGGGGGAGGACTGGCATTCATACAACTCCCTTAAGCTGTTTGGCAGTTTGTTTTTTTAAGGGTTCAGACAATATAGGGGAATTATAAACCAAGAAACCAAGATTTTAAAGGTAATATTCTTTAAAAAATAAAAAATAAAAGAGAAGTAATGAAACAGGCTGGATTACCGTAACACTAAAGACCTGCATCCCACCCCAGAATCAAATGATTTTAATGTTTAGTGTGCTGCATGAGTCCAGCCTGCTTAAAGCTTCAGACCCAGCTAAGGGTCACCAAGATAAACCAGCATCCCCTGTGCAGAAAACAACTGGAATCACCCCAGCTTTGGGCAAATCTTGGGCTGGGACAGGCCCTCCCCACGAGAATTTTTTTTTTAAAAAAACCCAATCCATTCAGAATGGAGCTTCTCGGTTCCTTACAGCCACTAATTCTTCCAACTGGCTTCAAATGAAAGTAGCTAATTTATTAAGAGTTACTTAGGGGACGAACTCTCCTCCAGTGCTTTCTGGATCTCTTTTCTTCGTCTGGGGCTCTCCTCCTCCCCAATTCCTCCTCGCCTTTTTTCGTGGCGTCAGTTGGATTTTTGGAGTCCGGCCAGTCTCCCTCCCTCCCTCTGACCATCCTCTCTCTCTCTCTCTCTCTCTCTCTCTCTCTCACACACACACACACACAGACACAAAATGCAGAAAAGTTCCCTTCGCAAGAGAGGAAGGCAGCAACTGTAGGATCCTTCGCGCCGCCGCCGCCTCGTTCTGCGCCCAGCTAGGCGTCCCAAAGCGGGACAGGAGCCGCTTCGACCCACTGCGCGTCTCCTCGACCGTTTCTCGACCTAAGGGCCACACTTTATCTCTCGGGAATAACAAGTCCGGTTGGGGACCAGGAGGTCGCCGAAAGCCCCCGTTCTCCAGCAGCTGGCTCGCCTTCCTCCCCTTGCGATCCTGTCTCCTGCCTCCCCTTGCGCATCTCAGGATCTCCCTTGCGCCCATGGCAGCTCGCATGATTTGGCCCAGCTGACTGCAGGCTCCAGCAGCGCTTCTTGGTAAGTGGCCCGTTTCCTTCTTTGGACTTCAGTGCAGAAAAGAGGAACAAAGATGGAGGCTAAACGGTGCAACGTACAGTTGCGGGAACTAGGTGTGTCTAGTCCAGGGGTAGGCAACCTTGGCTCTTTTATGACTGGTGGACTTCAACTCCCAGAGTTCCTGAGCCAGCATGGCTCAGCATGGAAATCTCTTCTTTTCCCCCTCAGCATGGCTGGCTCAGGAATTCTGGGAGTTGAAGTCCACCAGTCATAAAAGAGCCAAGGTTGCCTACCCCTGGTCTAGGAGGCTCACCATTTAGAACAGGACGACTTAGGCCAGGGGTAGGCAACCTCGCCTTTTTTATGACTGGTGGACTTCAACTCCCAGAGTTCCTGAGCCAGCATGGCTCAGCTTGGAAACTTCTCCCTTTCCCCTCAGCATGGCTGGCTTAGGAATTCTGGGAGTTGAAGTCCACACATCTTAAAGTTGCCAAGTTTGAAGACCCCTGATCTAGGCGCAGGGCTGGGGAACCATGGCCCTTTTATGACTGGTAGACTTCAACTCCCAGAATTCCTGAGCCAGCATGTCTCAGCTTGGAAACCTCTCCCTTCTCCCTCAGCATGGCTGGCTCAGGAATTCTGGGAGTTGAAGTCCACCAGTCATAAAAGAGCCAAGGTTACCTACCCCTGGGCTAGTCTAAGGCAGAGAAAGATTACAGGTGACATGACCACAGTCTTCCAGTACTTGAGGGGCTGTCACAGAGAAGAGGGCTGTGTGCGGTCAAGCTCTTCTCCAAAGCGCCTGAAGGCAGGACAAGAAGCAACGGATGGAAACTAATCAAGGAGAGAAGCAACCTAGAACTAAGGAGAAACTTCCTGACAGTGAGAACAATTAACCAGTGGAACAACCTGCCTCCAGAAGCAGTGAATGCTCCAACATTGGAGGTTTTTAAGAAGAGACTGGATAGCCATTTGTCTGAAATGGTATAGAGTTTGCTGCCTGAGCAGGGGGTTGGACTAGAAGACCTCCAAGGTCCCTTCCAACTCTGTTATTCTGTTATTTTGTTAATAGAAAAGCGCCCTCTGTCCCCAGCATCAGCAAGTTAGTAGAGCTTTGCATGCCATAGTTGCTTTTCCAGAGAGTTCTTCCCTTTACCAAAGGGGTTGGACTAGAAGACCTCCAAGGTCCTTTCCAAACCTATTATCCTATGTTCTTTAAGTTTCTCGCCCTCAGTGTCATGTTTTTGGAAGCATTGCTCAGTTGCTAAATGGTGACAAGGCAGGGCTGAAAATTCTTTTCACTGTTATGTGTGTGTGTGTGTGTATGTATATGTCTCTCTCTGTGTGTGTGTGTGTGTTCTGAAAGGATCTCTCCTTAATCTCAGATCTGGGTTTGAGCTGCTGTAATAAATTATGGAATTAAAGCGAGGCACGTGGGACGTGCTGGGAAAAAAACTCTCTTGTTCTCTTTCAGGACTATCACAGAAGCAAACCATCTCTCACCGTTCCCAAGTTCTAAGCCTAAGCCCCATCTCCGATTAAATCCTCTTTCACTCTAAGAAGTGTTTGTAGTTTTGCCAACGTGGAGTGATTTTTGTTTTTATAAAAGTTCCCTCGTGCAATAGATGTCAAATGTTTTATTAATTCTTGCATTTATTTCAAGTTTCAACGGTCGGGGCATGGATGCTTTGTATAAATAATACTAATTTGTTGTGAGATCAGCAGTGGAGGTTTTTATTTGGAAAGGGAACATTTCAAAGGTTGCAAGCAAGCTTTCAGGCCAAGCAAGACTTCTTGTCTTTCATGGGCTTGTTTCCAAATGTTTTTGGAATGGAATGGAACAGAGTAGAATAGAATAGAATGGAATGGAATGGAATAATGAAATTTAATAGAAAACACAACAGAACAGAATATGGAATTTAAGAATAGAATAGAATAGAATGGAATGGAATGGAATAGAATAGAATAGAATATGGAATTTAAGAATAGAATAGAATAGAATAGAAATATGAAATTTAATAATAGAAAATATAATAGAATATGGAATTTAAGAATAGAATATGGAATTTAAGAATAGAATAGAAGAATAGAATAGAATAGAATAGAATATGGAATTTAAGAATAGAATAGAAATATGAAATTTAATAATAGAAAATAGAATAGAATATGGAATTTAAGAATAGAATATGGAATTTAAGAATAGAATATAGAATAGAATAGAATAGAATAGAATAGAATAGAATAGAATAGAATAGAATAGAATAGAATAGAATATGGAACATACAACATGGGTAAATATACTTAGACATAAGACAGTAATGTGAGAATTAGGTGTTCAGCAGAATGATGGCATGAGGAAAAAAACTGTCCCTGAGTCTAGTTCCTTTGGCATGCAGTGCCCTATAGTGGCACCACGAGGGGAGGAATTAAGTCTAAACTGTTTAAACAGGTTTAAACTGAGTATGTTTAAACTGTTTAAAAGGAAGGAGGGAGAGATGGATTTTGGAGCTACTCAAGAAACATTAATTCAACCAAAGGGACTGTGGATGAGGGATAGATGCAATAGCGTCATATCGGCTGCCTTCAGATACTCTATCTCCTCTGCTGCCTTTTCCCCTCTTGGCTGGGTTCATGGGAGGACTAGTCAAAACAGTCAAAATGGCAACCACAACTACATGGCCAAAGCCCACCCCCTTTTTACATATAGATGGCCCCGCCCATCTCCTACAGTGACTCCTCCTACCCTCCCTCTTCCTCTCTCCCCCACCCATTTCTTTCTCCCAGGTTGCCAAGTTTTTTCTCCTCTTCTGGGCTGTCGCTTGCTTTCCCCCACTAGGGATTGTGGAGAAGCCTTCAAAAGCACTATAAGGTCTTTCCCGACTCTGCAGTTCCTCCAGACTTATTCAAGAAAAAGGAGGAGGAAGACCTGACCCCAAGAAGATTCTGATCTTTAAAAAAAGACGATTTTGTTTTTGAAAAAAAAAAAACAAGATTCGTGGGTCCTCCGTGTATAATGTAGCCAGAGGAATAGCATTGTTTTCAGCTTCATCTGACGCCATTTGAACTTTCTAGACAAATGAAAGGTTTGTTTGTCTGGTATATTAATAATAATAAAGTTGGAAAGGACCTTGGAGGTCATCTAGTCCAACCCCCTGCTCAGGCAGGAAACCCTATACCAGGGGTAGGCAACCTTGGCTCTTTTATGACTCGTGGACTTCAACTCCCAGAGTTCCTGAGCCAGCCACGCTGAGAGGAAAGGGAGATGTTTCCAAGCTGAGATGTTTCCAAGCTGAGCCATGCTGGCTCAGCAATTCTGGCTAGGGAATTCTGGGAGTTGAAGTCAACACATCTTAAAGTTGCTAAGGTTGAGAAATACTGACATAGATGTTATATATTCTCAAGCAGGAATTCCCTAAACCAGGGGTCTCCAGACTTGGCCCTTTTATGACTTGTGGACTTCAATTCCCAGAATTCCTCAGCCAACGTGCCTGGCTGAGGAATTCTGGGAGTTGAAGTCCACAAGTCATAATAGGGCCAAGTTGGAAGACCCCTGCTCTAAACTATGATCTCTTTGAAATCTATTTCTTGGCTTTGTAATATTGTTTGCAGCAGAAGAAGGGAAGAAAAAGATGACGGTGTATCTTTTTTTCCCCTCATTGCAGGATTTGAGAAAAGTAAAAGGAGTCTTTTGTATGCCATTTGCTGGGCTATGGTGGCAGGAAGATGTTGGCCAGGAAAAGCATCATCCCAGAAGAGTATGTCCTTGCCCGCATTGCAGCTGAGAATTTGGGCAAGCCCCGCATTCGAGACCGCCAGCGCAAAGCCCGTTTCATTGCCAAAAATGGCGCGTGCAACCTGGCGCACAAGAACATCCGTGAGCAGGGACGCTTCCTGCAGGACATCTTCACCACCTTGGTGGACCTGAAATGGCGCCACACTTTGGTGATCTTCACCATGTCCTTCCTCTGCAGCTGGTTATTCTTCGCCATGATGTGGTGGCTGGTGGCTTTCGCCCATGGAGACATGGACAAGCCTTGCACCAATGAAGACATCAGCAAATGGAAACCTTGTATCACCTGTGTCAGGTAAGGAGCCACGTCTTGAAGAGGAGATGTTGGATGCCATGATTGCAGACATGCCAACAAATCCAGGGCTTCATAAATGCAGGTAGTCCTCGGACGTACGATCACAACGGAGATCCCAAATTTCTGTTGCTAAGCAAGACAGTGAAATTTGTCCCAATTTGGCAGCGCAGGGGTTAGAATGCAGCATCGCAGGCAAACTCTGCCCACAATCAGGAGTTCGATCCTGACTGGCTCAAGGTTGCACAGTTAAGTGAATCACTGCAGATGTTAAGTTAGTAACACGGTTGTTAAGTGAATCTGGCTTCCCCATTGACTTTGCTTGTCAGAAGGTCGCAAAAGGGGATGACACGATCCCAGGACACTGCAACCATCATAAATATGAACCAGTTGCCAAGCATCCACATTTTGATCATGTGACCACGGGGATGCTGCAACGGTTGTAAGTTTGAGAAACGATCATAAATCACTTTTTTCAGTGCCGTTGTAACTTCTAACTAATGGTTGGAGGTCAAGGTCTACCTGTAGTTTATTTACATAATATGCTAGAGCCATGAGCCATAAACTACCAGCCCAATCTTGGCTTGATCTGATGTGTTGTGTGAACCCATGTATACTATGCAGGATAAGTGTTTTCAGTTGATTTGACCAGCCTTTGTTGTTAGTTGAGAAGTCGTGTCCGACACATCGTGACCCCATGGACAATGTTCCTCCAGGCCTTCCTGTCTTCTACCATCTTCTGGAGTCCATTTAAGCTCACTCCTACTGCTTCAGGGACTCCATCCAGCCACCTCATTCTCTATCGTCCCCTTCTTCTATTGCCCTCAATCTTTCCCAGCATTAGGCTCTTCTCCAGTGACTCCTTCCTTCTCATTAGGTGGCCAAAGTACTTGAGTTTCAACTTCAGGATCTGGCCTTCTAAAGAGCAGTCAGGGTTGATCTCCTCTAGGACTGACCGGTTTGATCGCCTTGTAGTCCAGGGGACTCGCAGGAGTCTTTTCCAGCACCAGAGTTCAAAGGCCTTAATTCTTTGGTGCTCAGCCTTTCTTACGGTCCAGCTTTCACAGCCATCCATTGCAACTTATATGCATGCTTTCAAAATGGAAAAGAACTGATTTATCGACTTTCTGAATTTTATAACTTCACTTTCCTGCCTTTCTGACAGGTCCTTCATCTCTGCTTTCCTCTTCTCCATTGAGGTCCAGGTGACCATTGGTTTCGGCGGAAGGATGATGACCGAAGAATGTCCCATCGCCATCAGTGTTTTGATCCTTCAAAACATTGTGGGCTTGATCATCAATGCAGTCATGCTAGGCTGCATCTTTATGAAAACCGCCCAAGCCCACCGGAGAGCAGAAACGTTGATTTTCAGTCGGAACGCCGTCATCGCTGTCCGTAATGGCCACCTGTGTTTTATGTTCCGCGTAGGGGACCTGCGGAAAAGCATGATCATCAGTGCCTCGGTACGAATCCAGGTTGTCAAGAAGACCACCACTCCAGAAGGAGAAGTCATCCCAATCCACCAGGTTGATGTTCCGGTAGACAATCCTCTCGAAAGCAACAATATTTTCCTGGTGGCTCCGTTGATCGTTTGCCACGTCATTGATAAGCGGAGTCCTCTTTATGACATTTCCTCCAGTGACCTGGCCAGCCAAGACCTAGAAATCATTGTCATACTTGAAGGTGTGGTGGAAACCACTGGAATCACCACCCAAGCCAGAACATCCTACATATCAGAAGAGATCTTGTGGGGTCATCGCTTTGTGCCCATCGTCACTGAAGAGGAAGGGACGTACGCTGTCGACTACTCCAAATTTGGCAACACCAGCAAAGTCGCGGCGCCCCGCTGCAGTGCCAAGGAACTGGATGAGAAGCCCTCCATTCTCATCCAGACCCTCCAGAAAAGTGAGCTGTCCCACCAAAACTCTTTGAGGAAACGTAACTCCATGAGAAGGAATAACTCAATCCGGAGGAATAACTCAATCCGGAGGAATAACTCTTCCTTCATTGTGCCTAAAGTCCAGTTCATAACGCCAGAAGGCAACCAAAACACCATGGAAACATGACAGAGCCGAGCAGCCCTACGCGGTGGTCCTGTTATAATATTAGTATTAATTTTGGTATAAACATTTAACAGCCATTAAGGCAGTGGTTCTCAACCTTTTTAATGCCGCGACCCCCAACCGGTCATAAGTCGAGTACTACTCAACTGGTGCAGCACCGTTTGCAGAATGGGACTTTTGGCGGGCTCAGCAGGGCAGAGACAGCCTGGACAATTCCTATTGGCTTTTGAAAGCCAATAGAATTAGACTCTATTGAAGAGAGTCTATTCTATTGGCTTTCAAAAGCCAATAGAATAAAAGGGAGTAGCACAGCTAAGGAAAAGGGGAAAAAATGGTGGACTGCGTTGTTTGGCGATCCCCGTGAAATGGTCATTCGACCCCAAATGGGGTCCTGAGCCACAGGTTGAGAACCACTGCATTAAGGGCTATTTATTACATGCAGACACCAGATCAAACCAGGTCGCAGTTGACTATTCTATCAGTATACAGGCCAATGTTTGCATGATTTGAGGTTAAGATGATATAGGTCAGTGGTGGTGAACCTATGGCACGCGTTCCAGAGGCGGCACTCAGAGCCCTCTCTGTGAACATGCATCCCGTCACCCCAGCCCCACCTCCCCCTGCGGCCCCCTCCTAACCAGCAGCCTCCCCCAAGGAGAGTCATCCCCGAGCACGACCCGCGCGGAGCAGCACAGCCAAGGACATGGCAACCAGGCAGCGGGGACAAGACTCTGCTCTTGTGCCCCATCGTGCGCTTGATGCTGCAGGGTGCGGGCGTGGCCGCCATGGCACTGCTGGGCCACCTGGGCGATCTGCGACGGGCCATGGAGGCAGTGAGAGGCCCTGCGGGCGGGGCGGGGATGGGCTGGGGCGGAGCAGGCGGAGCGTGGGTGGGCAAGAGGGCTGGTTTTTGGGCACTCCATCTCTAAAAGGTTCGCCATCACTGATATAGATAGTCCTCAACGTATAATCACAACTGAACCCGAAATTTACGTTGTTATGCAAGACAGTTGTTAAGTGACTTTTGCTCCATTTTGGTGGCGCAGCATCGCAGGCGAACTCTGCCCACTGCCAGGAGTTCAATCCTGACCTGCTGAAGGTTGACTCAGCCTTCCATCCTTCTGAGGTCGGTAAAATGAGGACCCAGATTGTTGGAGGCAATATTCTGCCTCTGTAAACCGCTTAGAGGGAGCTGTAAAGCCCCGTGAAGCGGTATATAAGTCTAAGTGCTAGTGCTAAGTGCTAGTGCTCTTTTATGACCGTTCTTGCCACCGTTGTTAAGTGAATCATCAAGGGAATTCCTCATTGACTTTGCTTGCCAGAAGATCACCTGACCTTGGGACACTGCAACTGTCACAACTATGTGCCAGTTGCCAAGCAGCCAAATTCTGATCACATGACTGTGAGATGCTGCAATGATTGCAAGTGGGAAAAGCAGTCATTTCACCATCTTCAGCGCTGCTGTAACTTTGAACAGTCACTAAATAAATGGTTCTATGTCGAGGACTATCTATAATTTGTTGGCTACCCATATCTTTGGAAAAAGTAAAGACAGCAAATTACCTCTTCCATTTACATGAAGGTGGGGCCAATTTTTATTTGAATCTTATTTTTCATACTCTCTTTATCTTTTGTTTAACTCAAAGCTGTTTTATTTCCTTGTGAATGCTCATTATGGGGAAAGTGTGTATCTCTCTCCCTCCCTCCCTCTCTCTCTCTCTTTCTCTCTCTCTGTATCTAAGCTTCTATCTCTATCTAGATATCATGCTTGAACTGTACTTCTCGAGTTTTATGTAATCCATTTTGAAAACTGTAGGGTCTTAGAAGAAAGGGATTTTTTTAAAATAAGTCCTGTGGTGGAGGTTATTTGGTTGATAAATAGTGGATATTACTGAAGTAATAACAGCCGGGATTAGCAGTGGTAGTAGCAATATTAGTTTGAAACACACACGCCCATATTCATGGAAGGAATCCCCTCACGAAAGTGAAAAGCAAGGGAGCGCTAGTGTTTCTCAGCCTCAGCAATTTTAAGATGGGTGAACTTCAACTCCCAGCATTCACCAGCCAGACTGTTTAAAGCAGGGGTCTTCAAACTTGGCCCTTTTATGACTGGTGGACTTCAACTCCCAGAATTCCTCAGGCAGAACTCTGGGGGATATCCAGCATTCCCAGCCAGAATTCCCCAGCCAGACTGTTTAAAGCAGAGGTCTTCAAACTAGGCCCTTTTATGACTGGTGGACTTCAACTCCCAGGATTCCTCAGCCAGCGTGCCTGGCTGAGGAATTCTGGGAGTTGAAGTCCACCAGTCATAAAAGGGCCAAGTTTGGAGGCTCCTGGTTTAAAGTTTCTGAGGTTGAGAAACCCTGTTTTAGATAATTGAAGAAATGGCTGCGCGAGACTGGACATTTGCGCACGTGCATACACACTCCTCTCTTGGCCAGTCTGAATCAAAAGCAAAGCAAAATCACTTCTCTTTGCCCGCAGGAATTTCCTCTTTTTCCTTTGACAGAAGAAATTCCTTTTCCTTAAATTGAGGGAGAGCTAGAAGAGGAAAGAAAAGGCAGGATATTTTCTCTGTCGGGTGTTAGATTTGCTCCCCAAGGTCACAATAAAATCCAGCAAGGTCAGAAACAAGCTGAAAGCAAACCCTTCTCGTTGCAGAGATGCCCGGCTTGCCAGCAGTCTGAAGGCCACGATGCAAAGAAGGTATTGAAATATGGGGAATAAAAGCAGCGAGCTTAAACTGGGGGTAACAGAGGACCAAGGAAAAACCAGCCATTCAATGGGGCTTCTTTCTTGTTGTTAGTTGCGAAATCGTGTCCAACCCATTGCAACCCTATGGACAATGTTCCTCCAGGCCTTCCTGTCCTCTACCATCTTCTGGAGTCCATTGAAGCTCACGCCTACTGCTTCAGGGACTCCCTCCAGCCACCTCCTTCTCTGTCGTCCCCTTCTTCTCTTGCCCTCAATCTTTCCCAGCATTAGGCCCTTCTCATTAGGTGGCCAAAGTACTTGAGTTTCAACTTCAGGATCTGGCCTTCTAAAGAGCAGTCAGGGTCGATCACTTCTAGGACTGACCGGTTGACCTAGCCATGTCATACCATGTGTGTGACAGACCTCTGCCAAATCCAGGTTTAGCAGCCAAATTAAACCATGCGAAATCGAGGGAGTAAGTTGTAACGCTGAACCGTGGTCCAGGAAAACCTAATAATCCTAGCCCCCAATGTGAGGTTATTTCAACCAGTACAGATAGTCCTCAACCTAGGACGAAATTGGAATCAGAGTTTCTGTGGCTAAGCAAAAAGGCTGTTAAGTGAGTCACGGCTGATATTATCACTTTTTTTGCCATGGTTGTTAAATGAATCGCTGCAGTGGTTCGGTCATTAAATGAATCCAGCTTCCCCCATTAACTTGGTTTGTTGGCAGCCAGCTGGGAAGATCATAAATAATGATTATGTGACCCCAGGATAATGAAACATAAATACATGCCAATTGCCAAGTGCTCAAATTTCGATCATATGACTATGGGGATGCTGTGACCGTCCTAAGTGTGAGGACCAGTCATAAATCACTTTTCCCAGTGACTGTGTAACTAAATGAATGGCTGTATGTCAAGGATTTCCTGTATGTGAACTGACTTATGTTTCCTCCGGACCTAGACTATGTTGTGTGTTGCTGATTTGCCCATCTCAGTGATAACTCCACACTTTCCCATTGCCTTCCATCAATTTATTAACAAACACGTAAATGCAGTTCTGGTCACTTCAGAATAATTTTACTAAACCCCTATAGCATTCAGAAGCTAAATGGAAGAGATAATCTTTGCTTCACTGTACAGTAAATGATGGACAATTAGTATCCAATCTCCACATCTGTTCATTTATCAGCAAATAACTCACCTTCAAGAACCTTGTTAAGGATTTTGACATATCTTAAATGTAGGCAGTATTAGCTGTCCAGCTTCACAAAAAAAGATTTCTTCAATAAAGTTTTTCCACTTTCTAACTTTGCTTCTGATCTGTGCTTATGTTTGAGGTGAAGGACATGAAATTGGGATCTGGGATCATAATTATGCAAAGATGTAGATCCTTGGTGTTTTCCATTCTGGAGTCCCTGTGATACTGTCTTCCAAATAATTTGTGTTGCTGAAACATCAGGCTTACATTAATCCCACAATTGTTAGCACTATGTCTGGGGTCTGTGCCAGGAATCACTGATAAAATTCCTCCAAATGGAAATGAGCAGGTAATGAAATCATACAGCCAATCAGAAGACACTTTATTTCTCTCTTGTAGACTTATCAATTCTCCAATGTTTTGAGGAAGTCTCCAGAATTGATGCTTTAATCATCGGCCTGCCCCTCCTCAAAAAGCAAGGAAGCAAAAAATATTTCTACATCCTGGAATGCGTATTTCATGAATCATGAATCCCCTGATTTGCAAACTATATTCCCCCGAGAGAGCAAAATGCACTTAGCTGTGAATTGTTAAAAAAAATGCAGTGAAGTCTCATGCTTTCTGTTCAGCATAGTAGGGACTGAGCAAGCCTAACAGAGTTAGTTAATCCAGCACAAATGTTAAGTTATTCCAGTACATATTTATCGATACAGCACATTCGATAAATATCTATTGGAATAACTAGCATATTCCTGGAATTACTTTCGAATATGCCATATGAGAGAGAGAGAAATAGCAATAGCGCTTAGACTTATACAGTATACCGCTTCATAGTACTTTACAGCCTTCTCTAAGTGGTTTACAAAGTCAGCCTATTGCCCCCAACAATCTGTGTCCTCATTTTACCAACCTCAGAAGGATGGAAGGCTGAGTCAACCTTGAGCTGGTCAGGATTGAACTCCTGGCAGTTGGCAGAATTAACCTGCAATACTGCATTCTAATCACTACGCTACCACAACTCATAGATAGATAGATAGATAGATAGATAGATAGATAGATAGATAGATAGATAGATAGATAGATAGATAGATAGATAGATGGATGGAT